TATGGGATATAGGTAGGTAGTCTCAAAAATGTTTTCTCCAAACCTGAAAGATGTGACTATGCTTCTGTCATCATTATTCAAAAACCTTTATTTTGAAATCTGTATTTTACAGTTGCATCACCTAATACCATCATCTTCTCTATCCTCTTCATCTCTGGGACATTTCCCCATCTTCCTTAGGGCCTGGACTACAAACCTTACCTTCATACCACCTCATTCCATCTCTCTCAGTGACTTTGTTCTCCTAGCTAGTGATACTTGTAAAACCGTAGCTTCTCAGTCGGTCTTTATTTCGGGCATCCTAGAGCCACAGTCATGGCTTGGGCCGTACCTCTCAGGCATCTCCACTTTCTTTTCTCCCATTAAATATGCTCCCTGTCTTCATTGTAGATTCCTCTCACTATACTCCCATCTTCTTCCTCAGGTTAATATATCTCCCTCCTGGTGTTCACTTCCTTTTTTTCTATCTTGTTCCTCCCCATGACCCACCAAGACCCCTTCACCCTCTTATCTTCTTGAAAGAGTAGTCTTAATCATTGTTTCTGTTTTCTTTATCTCCCATTATCCTGTCAGCACCCTAGAGGCTTTTCCCTCATTACTTGCAGACACTGCTTTCATAATCCCCCAAGGGTCACCTCATTTTTCATATTCAGTGGTGACCTCTCCTATGTCTTTACCCTGATAACATTTTTGACATCCTTCTTTTTTAGTACTTTACTTCTTTGACTCCATAATATTTTCTTTTTGTGATTATTTTTCCTTCTCTGCGACCCCCCGCCCCCCCACATTTTGTTTGTTTGTTGTTTCTTTGGTGTGGATTCTTCTCCCTCTTCCCCCATTACAAAGGGTGCTCCTTTGGCACCTCTTTTCTCTCTGCTTATTTTCTGTTGGTTATGTCATCTGCCCTCTCAATTTTAATACTCACCTCTTAGATGTGGTTTCCCTTCCTGATACTGAGGATCTGTCCCCACATCCTCCTTTGTAACCCTCTGTAGACATGTCCAGAGGGATAATGTAAACCTAAGGTCATGTTAATTTATTATCTGGGTCACTATGGAGGGTTGAAGAGGGCACTATTAAAAATTAGCAGATGTAAACCTGTACTGCGCACAGTCACCTGTTCAAAGCCAATATTTACAAAATACTCTGAAATCTGTTTCTTCTCAGTTGTTTTCCATCTGTATTAGTTGCCTCAACAACATTCTACTTACCTGTGCTGAAAATCTTCATCATCTTCAATATTCTACTTTTTTTACTGTAATCTTTTTAATTAAAGCTTTCTTTATTTCTTTTTTGACCCCATTCCACTGGCAGTGCACTGTTCAGGCCCTTATTTCCCCTTGCCTGAAATACTGCATAGCCTTCTAACTTGCCTTCTTGTTCCCAGTTTCTCCCATTCATCTTTATGCAATATTTTTTATTTTTACAAAATGTTGCGTGAAGTGCACTGATCATTTATATACCTGCTTAAGAGGCATTGCCAAAGAATATCAATGTAGACTTCTCAGCTTGGAATTCAACACACTGCAAAGCCTAATGGAAAAAACCTTTCCAGTCTTACCTCCTTCATGGACCCTGTATTTCAGCTGGACTATTGGCCTTTATCCAAACACCTCCTAAATCAGTGGTCCTCGACCACAGCAGAATCACCTTTGGAATTTTTTGAAATGTATGTGCCTAGCCTTCATCTGGGAGTTTTTAATTTAGTAAGTCTTTGTTGGGGCCTGATTATCTTAATAAAAACCTCCCTCAAGTGATTCTGACCAAGGCCAAGGTTGAGAAACATTGGCCATTTTTATTTCTTTATAATTTTGGTCACTATTTTTTCTTCAGAACAAGTATCTGCTTTTCTTTAAACTCCTTCTTACCCCTCAACACCTATCCTTAATTTTATCTCCTTCATGAGGTCTTCCTTGATCTATTCAAATAGATGTAGTTGTTTCTTCCTCTTTACTGCAGAGCAGTGAACTGTCACTGCTATTTATGCCCTATAACTGGTAGACAGCACACTTCTTGAAGGCAAGCCGTCTGCTCCTTATAAAAAAGGAGCAAGCTGGGCGTGCTGGCTCACGCTTATAATCCCAGCACTTTGGGAGGCTGAGGCGGGTGGATCACCTGAGGTTGGGAGTTCGAGACCAGCCTGGCCAACATGGTGAAACCCTGTCTCTACTAAAAATACAAAAATTAGCTGGGTGTGATGACGCACGTCTGTAATCCCAGCTACTCGGGAGGCTGAGGCAGGAGAATCGCTTGAATCCAGGAGGCAGAGGTTTCAGTGAGCTGAGATTGCGCTATTGCTCTCCAGCCTGGGTAACAGAGTGATACTCCGTCTCAAAAAAAAAAAAAAAAAAAAAAAAGCCAGTCAGTAAAAGTCATTGACTAGTTAAGAATATTTGTAGAGAACTTTGAAGTTCTTAAAAAGTGATTGATAAGCATGAGTTATTTTTTGCTTATCATTTAACAAAAAGTCCCAAAACAAAAAGTACAGTGTTTGTTATTCCAAGACTATGCTAAATCAAGATTTGCTAATCATGCTAAGAAGGAAAAAGGAATTAGAATTTTAAATGCTACTACCATTTTCAGCAAGAATGAACTAATACTACATTCATTGGTGGATTGATTCCATTAACACCCATGCTTCAGGTGCTTTAGGACATGGAGCTCTCTTTGGATTCCTCATGAAAACTGTCATGTTGGCATGTAGCTATAAAATATGCATTAGTCAGAAACTGTAGTTATTAAAGCCGAGTTCTTTTCACCAGTTTGTTTGGAATAGGGGAATAATACTTTTAATAAATCAGCCTTGCTATAAGATAGAGCACAGTGTCATTTTTAATAGGGAGCAAGAATAAGTGCAGTGATTAAATGCGGTTACAAGTGGCTATATCTAAAAACAATTTTTGATTTTGTCAAACATTTAGCAAGGGAGTAATTTTTTTCCTCTAGTTTTTTTCTAGCTTTCCCAGTTTTTTTTTTTATTTGTTGTTGTTGTTAAATCTATATGCTCTATATTCAGAACTGGATTTTTTTTTTTCCCTATAAATTTGTTAGTACCTGATTTGGAATTTAGTCTTATTAATATCATTTAGTTTGGGATGCTTGGAAATGTGTGTATAACTATTGATGCCCTTTAAGGTGGAGACTTGTATCTTGATATTCTATTGAAGTGTATATATATGTATATTTTGTACTTTGCAAAGCAACTGGATTTTATAGCAAGTGTAGGTAAAGAAAAAACTTTTATCCTGTTGGTGCTCTGCATATTTGCTAGTATAAAACATGTTTCTGATTTATTCCAGGCAACATAATCAAAAGGTGTATTTTAGAACATACACAAACTTTTCTATGCTCATGGAAGGTATACTGACTGGAAAATATCAATATAATCTCTCTTTTTTTTTTTTGCTTTTTATAAACTACAGGTTTATAGAGACTTTATGGAGACATTCAGTCCTTTCCCTGACTTTTAGAAGAACTATAGCTTAAACTACTCAAAACTTCTAGAAACAAAGTCAGACTTCCTTCAGAAACATTCACTATGTTTAATGTTAATCACATTAGTCTTTCAGTTGTTCCTCGAAAACAGCCATAACGGGAAGCCAAAAGACAGAGTGTTGGGAAACATTCTGAAGAAAGCAAGCAAATAATTAATAAGATTTCATAGTCACTTGGAGATATCTCCTTGTCAGTAGAGGAGTAGAAGGAGCAGTCTCTAGTAAAATTTGGGAACAGATGGCAAACATTTGTTGACCATAATAGTAGTAACTTATATTTTGTAGAAGATTGTACAGTTTTCATGCACATCATGTCATTTAATCCTCACAAAAATGAGAGTACTAATAACCCCCTTTTGCAGATATGGAAACATAGCTAGGAAGGGTAAGTGGTTTGTTTTTAATTGTACTATTTATTCTAAATAGTACAGACATTATGAACAGATTGAAAGATTTCAAGTCTTTTGATGCTCTATGTGGAAAACACAAACTCAAAGTGTGTGTGTGTGTGTGTTTTAATTCTCTCATTCAACAATAATCAACACAGAAGACTTGTCTTACCAAGTTTTGCCCCATACACCGAGCAAACAGTCAGTTTTTCAGCAGGTACCAGCCGGATGTCCTCCAATTCAGTTTAATCCTGACACTGGCTACCTGGAAATTGTGTCATATCCCACAGGTTGAACGCTTATTCCCACAAGACTGCCCCCTCTTCAGACACCAGTTGCAAAACTAGCCAGCTTCATGTTTGGTTTCCCAGGATCTCTTTTTGTGTTCTATTAATTTGCTACAACAGCTCACAAAATGCAAGGCAACAGATTTACTGATGTATTATAAAGGATCCGACAAAGGATCCAGATGGCAGGAAACATTAGGTGAGGTCTGGGTGGGCACAGAGCTTCCACGCCCTCTCCAGGCATGCCACCCTGCAGGAACCTCCACATGTTCAGCTATCTGGAAGCTCTCCAAACCTTGGCTTTTTGTTTTTTTATGGAGGCTTGATTACACAGGCATGCTTGATTAAACCATTGGTCACCGGTGATCAACTTAATCTTCATCCTCTTCTCCCTCTCTGGAAGTTGGGGTTTGGGGTTGTAAGTCCCAACCCTATAATCATGTCTGGGTCTTTTCAATGTCCAGACTTTATCTTGAAGCTACTTAGGGCCTGCCAGCCATCAGTGAACTCATTAGCATATGAAAAATGAAAATATATCACTTTGAAGATTGCAAAGATTTTAGGAGTTGTATGCCAGAAACAGGGACAAAGAGAAAGTGTATATTTCACAGTATCACAAATGCCAACTCACTCTACTAAAAGGCTATTTTAAAAAAACAATTTTTCAAAGACCACCTTAAAAAGTATCAGGACAGTGGCAGCAGTGTGCCTAAGAGAGAAAGGCCGCGAAACCATTTCTTAAATTTTCCATCTATACAATGAAGAAGTAGGAGGAATTATACACGAAATACTGAGCTCTTTAAAGTAAAATGATACACAACCTCAAGATGTTGATTTTTTAAAATTTTTAGCCAACTTTTATTTTTATGCCTAGAAAAATACATGGGACGTTTAGGACTAATGTGCTGGGCAATTTGCTACTTAGTGATAGTAACACAATCCTGAAAAAGCAAGCACAATTATTCTGTACTTTTTAAAAGTTTTATTCAGCAATAAGACCATAATTTTTCATATTTAAGGAGTATGAAAAATTTGTCGAGTTTTAAAAGCTGAATACATGTAGCGTTGGATCAAGGCACATACAAGACTGGCCAAAGGGCGTACAATGCACTTTGGTTTTTTGTTGAAAAAAAAAAAAATCATGGCAACAGAAAAGCGATATGGTTTTTCAACAAGTAATAGCTCACAATTCAGTAGGAAGCTAGAAGGAAATGTTACATTACAAGTTCATTATGTAATATCTGGAAAATTGTGACAGTAATGGGCAGTATTCTTGATCTTTGTAAAAGTAAATTGAACATTTATGTACAGTGTTAAAACCTTTGACATAAACCAGATCTAAATTTGATGTCTAGTATTTATTTTTCTTTAAATTCTCTCTTATTTAAAGAACTACTTTCTCTGGGTTGTTGAGGGGAATCGCTTATAATTACACTACATTTTTAATATGCATAAAATTTCTCTGACATCCTTTATGATAAAAACATCATAAACACTAACAATTTTGTGTTTATAAGTCACTTTTCAAAAATCAGGATGGCATAGGCAAAACCAAAATGCAGTTTTGGTATTTGTGTTCATTACACTATACAAATCTAAGTTTTCATGTTTTCCTAAGTACACATTTCCCCCGCAACTTGGAAGCACATTTACATTACTGTTTTTGTGAAGTCCTTTATTTTCAAAGCTTTGCTGACAATGGCTTTAACAGACTTCACACTCCTTTTCTGCCAGCTGATGTATTCAGTTCAGAAGATATGCTTAACTTTTTTAAGGATAATTAATTTGCCTAGAGCAAAAATGGAGATATGCAGCAGGTTTGATATTGCCCATTACTTCACACACTTTGATTTATTGAATACCACTGGGATAATACAAATTTAATAATTGGAACATTATTTCATAACCATTTTCTAAAATTAAATTTTCTCATTCAGCCATTCAGCCAGTTTTTTTTTACATTTTATTAATACCAAAGTGAAAAATGGCCTGTGCTTATACTACAAGGATCTCATGTGAATGCAGTCCTGATTGTTCAACACAGCAAGAAAATTCACTTTCACAGTCAACAAGTCATCTTACTCAGTAGAACACAAAGTAAATGGTTTATAACTCCAATATTTGCAAGGAAAATACAGTACAAATTACTAAAAAATACTAAAATATAGAATTGTGTTCAGGCATCTCCACTACATCAATCGCAGCAGTAACCTGAAATTTGAAACTTTTAATAAAAAGTTCTTAAATATAAATTATATGGCAAATGTACAGTACATTGCTTTTTTCAGTCTCTTTTTCCAGTGTTTTGCAGTAGAACAGGGTTCCTACCATCACCTCCCTTAGGTTTAAAAAACCCAAAACACAAGTCTGCTGCAAGTCCTTCAGCATCATGAGTGTGAGTGATCTGAGTCTGGAATACCACTGTCTCTGTAGCTTCGGTTACTACTGCTTTCACTGTGATTGTTTTTGTACAGATTCATTCCATTAGGAGGAAATATGGTGTGTATTACAAACTCCTCCTTCGAGATGGGTTCATTGCTTATTGGTAACATCTGAAAAGAAGTTTCCCTGATTTCCAGGATAGAGTTGTCCTTCTTAGTGCCAGCTTCTGCATAGTCATCCTTTCTTCTCCTCCCTTTGCTATACGCACAGTTCCTTGAGAAAAGCGATCCATTCCTATGAACATACCAACACACTAAAGCAAGAAGGGCAATGGTAACCAGGGCCACAGCTCCACCAATGATGGCAGCCAAAGGTAAATTGGGGTTTTTGTAAGGTTCTTTCTCTTGCTCTCGATTGAGGGTGGTTGTAGGGTTGTACATTCGAAGGGGTGCAGTTTCAGTCTCAATACAAACAGGAGTTTCATCAAATAGGTAGAGGTTACTGGTTTCCATGGGAACCATGCATACTTTATAGGGTGAATCAGGCTCCAGGGCTGTGACCAAGTACTCACTGCGTTCCCCTGTTACAATTGTTTCTGTTATAGATCCAAATGCTGGGCTATGGCCCAGTTTAAGCCAGCTGAGTCTCAAAGCAGTCATAGGTAGAGCAAGTTTCCAAGAGATATGAATTGTATCAGAGGTGACAGATTTCACAGTAATTGTAATTGTTTTTCTTGAGGGACTCCCTGTGGTTTGGTGATCCTTGGTGAGCTTGGGGTTCTTAATATCTGGCTGTTTGGTCACTGGAGCTGGCCACTGTCCTTGGGCAGGATACACTGTGTTGGGTATTGCAGTGGTTATCTGAATGGTGCTTACAATCCCACTGTCCTTACAATCAAACAGTTCTGCATTGAGATCCTTAATAGCCATCCCACGAACTTTTTCTGGGGCTTGGCACATAAGCCCACGCACATTGACCTTCACAGGTAATGATTGTAACCAGTCACGTACCCATTTCATCTTGCACCCGCAATACCAGGGATTGTTGCGAAGAATCAGTTGTGTTATATTGTCCAAATCATCAAAGATACCCTGAGGTAAATTACTTAGGTTATTATTGGACATATCCAGTCGATAGAGCTGCCTTAGATAAGAAAAAGCATTTGGGGGCACCCGATTGATGTGGTTATCTTGAAGATAAAGCTTCCTCAGGTTTGTGCCTGGAAGGTTTACTGGTGCAGCAGTCAGGGAATTCCGCACCAGGGACAGCTCTGTTAAATTAACTAGGTTGAAGAAAACTTTGTCACCTAAACCGTGGTTGTTCAACAGGTTTCCATCTAGAACCAGGCGTTTTAGACTAGTGAGACCTTGAAGAGATGGTGATGAAATTGTGGATATGCGATTATCATCCAAGCGTAGTTCTTCTATAGTCCTGGGCAAACCCCAGGGAATTGTGCTAAGGTGGTTGCGGGACAGGAAAAGCAGTCGGAGATAGTTGCTGTCTCGGAATGCTCCCTCTTCTATGCTAACTGCAGAGACAGAGTTGTCATCTAAATGTAATTCTTCCAGATAAGGAATTTTTGAAAGTGAATCATAAGTGATAGTCCTTATGTTATTTTCTTGCAAATGTAACTCTTTTACATACTTTGGGAGGTTGGTAGGAAATTCATCTAAACTGTTGTGGTATAGGTATATTCTTTCTACTTTCAGCAAGTTTTTCAAATCTGAAGGAATCCCAGCATTATTTATTTGGTTGTTCTGAAGGTAGAGAGTTGTAGCATCCTCTGGTATTCCTGTTGGAATGGATGTCAGAAAGCGATCATTACAGTAAATGAAACCCGCATCGCAGCGACACACAGATGGACAGGATTTAGCCATAACTGATAGAGGTGCTACTTGAAGGAACAGCCCAATTTTAGTCCCGATGAGGAAGATGCTCCAGGCTGGGCTGATCATGGTCAGCAGTGTTGAGGTCTTTATACAAGGTAGCTTCCGTTACTTCAGAACCCTAAAATGAAGTGAGTAAAAAAAGAGAGAAAACAATAAGAACAGCATACTGAATATAATGTTTAAAATGAATGTGGAAACTAAAATATCTATAATCACTTTTAATATTTTAATTTGTTTTGGGAGAGGGCATAGTCGGGCTTATTGCTAGCTAACAATAGACAGTGTCATATAATCTCTTTACCTTAATGGTTTCTTAATTTCTTTATACATTAAAAAGTAACATGTGCCAAATCCATTTGATTTTGAAATGTTAAATATAATTGAAGTTTTATTGAATAATCTAAAGTATTTTAATTATACTTTATATCAACCTTATAGACAGTCATTGATCAAGCTAATTGAATATCCATTTCTTTCTTAATATTCATAATAATTAACACCTTGGAGTATTGTTTGGTATATTTAAAGGTAACCATTTTACTGTTATCAAAAAACCACAAATTTTTATATTTACTTTTTATTAGGCAAAGACTATACAGGTATAGAAAAATGTCATAAAAATATCTATTCTCTTCATACTTCATACTTCATAGTTACCCACATCTTGAGATCCTGAATCTCAATTAAACCCATAGTTTGCTTTGATTATTAATGTCATTTCATTTTCTTTGGTTATTAATTTTAAGTATTATTTTAAATGGGTGGATTTCTATAAGAAAATAAGAATGAATCCTTCATTTATTTTTGGGAAAGAATTACAAAGCTAATACATCCAGCTAACCTAAGTGGAAAATTTCACTTCATGTTGAACTCTGTCTTTCTTCTGTTTGCATTTTGTTATATGTTTCATACTGCAAGTTTTAATGACTTTGTCCACATTTTTCATTATTTTCTATCTCATAATGTGTTTTCACAGTGCATTTATATTTCTTTAAATTCTAACCTAGAATATAAATCAACTTTTTCTATGGCTGGCAAAGTACAGATTTATACTGATGTATTGTGTAATATAATATCTTGTGTCCTTTTAAGTATTAATTAGCCTTTGTAATTTTAGGCATGAAAATAAAATACTTTGTTTTTCCTACCTTATTGAACGATGTGAGTAAATTTTGCGGGAGTGAATATCCAATGCACATGTATTATTTTCCTGGTGAGGGGCTGGGACTTATAAACTTTTGTTTAGTCCTTGGAAATGTTCTTCACCGTTTATTCAAGTAATCCTATGCCGCACACACCTCCAGATCAGGCTTGCTGTTGTCAATGAACATTCCAGCTGCAGTTCAGCATGGTGGGCAAGCTCATTAAAGTGGGGGCAGAAACAATTCTGCTTCCTGTTACTATGTAGGACACATGGCTTCCTATGTATTTTTTTTTTTTTTCTTTCTGATAGAGTTTCTGTGTGAAGGTTCCTTTTGTGTAGCTTAATTCCCTTAGTGGAAATTGCCCTCTTTGAAATTCTTATTGGCTCTTCTGTGCAATGTGGTCAGAGATAGTAACTTCAGCTCCTCATGAAGAAAGCCATTCATGATGCTAAGGCCTGTATAGTAATAGGTTTTTCAGGCAGTTACCCCCTACCTTTATTCCCATCCAGGATTATCCAAGTATAAACTTTGTACAGTAGCTACATCCTGAGGTATGATTACCTGCTGTGAAATAGCTATTTCCAGCTTTTGCTTCTTGCTGATTTTTCAGAATGTCTGGTGCAGTCACGTTATACAAGAACAGGTATTCTCTTTTAAGAAGTAAAGGAAACTAAATTCTTCATGGAAAGAAAACGAGGCATACTAAATTTCCTTTATATTTATCTTCCTTAAAATATACTGGGACTGAGCATCTCCTGTGAAAGTAAAAGGTTTTAATGAACTATTAATAATGAACTTTAACATACTAGAGAAATTTCCTAGACATTTAATTTCAATGTCTTAAAACAACACATCTTTCATCATAGTGGTTAGTCAAAAGGGATAGGTTGACCTCTTTGTTTTTAGACTTCTCATTTTCTTATATAAATAAAGTAGGAGCCAAAGTAGAGATTGTCATCAAACAGATAATTTCTATTATATGATTGTGTCACTTTGAATTAAACACCATGGCTTTCAAATTCAAGCCAGTCTTTAAAAATTTACTTTGAAATCATATGCATAAAATGATAAAATGTTTAAAAAGAAGAAAACAAGTACATGTCAAAGAGGTGAGCAAATACATTAACAAGTATTTTTGACAGAAATGCCAAGGTAACTTTTTAGGCATTTCTGAACATGATTTAACAAAGTCACACAATCCACAATTTAGAGTTGAAAAGGCTATGTTAAAAGCTTTTCTGTTGATTTGCTCAGTTCCCTGTTTGATTCTTCGTGCAGGTCTCAATTTTCCCAACTGCGGAATGTCGACACCATCCCCTTTCTCTTTAGGGGTACATCTAAGGACTACTTATTGATCTTGAAACTCTAAGCACTCAGGTGTTCTTGCCCAAAAGGTGACATAGAAGTTCAAGTCATGTTTAGTTTTTCTGGAGAATACTGTTCTAATTTTCTTTTAGCATACTGAGTTTGAAAAAAAATTTTGTATTTGAAATAGAAAGGACACTATTATTTCGATCTCCTTGTAGTGACCATTAGGAAAGCACACCAGATGGGGCATTTCTCTCTAGGTTCATACATGAATATGCCAATTTTTAATAAGTGTATCATTTCTGAAAGAAGACTTTTGGCTTGACTAAAGAGATCTTTGAATTTAATGTTGACTGCTTTGCCTATTATCAAATATGCATGAAGATTTTTTAAGAGTTTGGAGGAGGTGAGTAATATTCTAATTGGTTATGGAGGATCATCCACTCTGATACTTTGTATATATGTAGGGAACATTTGAGTATCCTGGAAATATGTGACCCTGAAAGTAAGGACTAAAGTAGTAGCAATTTGCTTCTCCCACAGTTACTACCTAACATCCAGCAAGGATAGCATCTGTTCCATAATTCAAATGCTCTGCTGAACGAGTATGTTAAATAAGGCCACAATTTGTGTTTCTGTTTCTCTCCAAAAATTCAGTTTATTTTAGTTTGCTAACTGCATACCAACATGGTCATAGGCTATATTAACAGAAGAAAAGTGAAAAAAAATTACAGATACATATAATTTATTATTTAGGCAACTTGAAACAAAAATAGCAGTTAGCAGATGGATCAAACAGTCTCTAGTGAATATTGCAAAGTGCCCACAGAGGAAAGTTTAAATGATTTATTGTTTAATGTGAGGTTTTACTGTGATGCCTTTAGGGCTTTGCCTGTTATTGTCAAATTCCAATAGTATCTTTTCTTGAAAACTGTTGCTTTCTCAGTGTGTGAAAATGGAAAACCAAGCTGTTGAAATTATAATTACAAGGTTACTTTTTAAAGTATCTTCTGTAAAAGTTTTTTAAACTTGAAAATTATTCAACATATAAAATAATGTGGTTAAGTTTAGAAAACAACTACTTACGTTAAATTGCATTGGAAACTAATTAAAAACCATTATAAAAATAACAAGAGAGAACCTGCTTAAAGTGTTACCAAGAGTCAAGCATTTCTGATATTCCAGGGATGATGGTGAGGCAATATATACTTGAGATGATGAATCTGCTGATTTTGGGGATTTAAAAACTGATCATTCCCTGAGTCAGGTCAGACCACAGTGTGTCCAAGGTGATGGTCATAATGATAACCAGACATAAAATAAATGTCTTTTATCTTGTATCTGAACTATGTATATTTCACCAAATTAGGCTCTAACAATATGTGTTGATTTTCACATTTTTAACCCAGAGAATGAAAGAGTTCTAAATTGGTGTGAAAAGATGGAAGATTAATTTGTTTATTTTACCTGTTTTACATTTGTGAAGCTGCTTCCTCTATTCTGTTTGATATGCAAACTCACATTTGCCATTCATACAATAGTGGTAATAATGTGGGATTAACAGAAAGCCTTAAATCTCATTAAGTTCTTGGAAAATGTCATTCTTTTCTCTCCACATTGTATTTAAATAAAAGGAAAAACATAAAACAGGTTTCTTAGGAGAGAAGGATACTCTTTCAGAAATGAAGGTTACATTCAGAGCTACTCTCATATGCCCCTACTCCCTTTACTTAGGCTCAAAACCATTCATATTTGACTACATTTTATGTCTTCTCTTTCCCATTTATGTTTGAAACTATAGTGCTAAACAGATTTTTGGGTTTTGGTTTTGGCATATTAAAGGCTGCAAGGATCTCTTCATCAAAAATGAACAATCTCCTATGCTTTGACTTTCCCCTTTCTGAGCTGGATCTACATATTTGCGCACCTAGAAATACTGTAGTCAAATGTCGATGATGAAAAGAAAAATGACCCCCACTGGCATGGACACTGTGGCCAGGTTTCCACAACACTGACTTCAGAGCCTTTCTGTCTGCCTAGGCTTGAAAGAGGCCATTACTTTTGAACAAAATGAATCGATCTTTTAGAAAAATACTGTTAATGGGGTAACTTGGGGGAAAAACATAAATGGAGCCCTGGTAACTTAATGGAATGTTAAAAAAAATTTTTTTAATGGAGGCATTATTTAACTATAAAACACTTAAAACTGTAGTAAAAAGAAGAAAAACATAATCACCTCACTGATGAATCAGATTTTTAATAGAGATCCTTATATTCATATTCAGTTTCTTTTTACAAATAAAAATTGTAGATTTTTTTTTGCATTTATAATGTAATCATCAAGTCTGAAAAGCTTCCAATTTATTTCCATGGTACACCCAATAAAACATGTAAATAGATAAGGATACTATTTTAGGAAAACTAATATAAGAAGTTGTATCTGAATAGAAAACTGATATTTAAATAAAATCAAGAACTTGCGGCAATCTACATGTTTATATGATTTCTTCCCTGCTACTACAATATTTTGGAGCTGGGAGTGTCATGAGAAGGTATTTCTTATGTTTTAAGAATATTACTTAGATTAAGATGAAGCTATATAATAGTAGTGCTAATTTCTTATTTATGCCTTAGATTTAAATTGATTTTGATTTGACCTGTTTGATCATTACTCATTTTTGAAAAATATTAATTCAAGTATAAGGTTTTGAGATTTTAGTTTCTTTTTTAATGATTTCTCCCACAGAATGATTTCTTAATGCTGGGGACTTCTAAAAATATTCAGTCTAAAATATAATGGCATGTAGAAGTTTTCATCCAAGTTAGTTGCCTTGTTTTAAGTAAAACCTTGAGACTAAAAAAAACTCATGCCTAAACAAACGTATCCAACTTTGTGAATATTTCTAGGTAAACTGGAATTTATACAATCATAATTTAGAGTATTAGGAAGGTAATTTATTTATGAAGGCTTAAATTGCTACTAAAAAAGCTCAACCTGTGAATGCTAAGTCTTTGCAACAACAAATGGTATTTCAAATAAACTATATATATGGTTAAACTGAAAAACTGGAGTACATCAGGTTAGTTGATAGTGACAGCAAAATGCTTTCTAAGCAGCCTGTCTGGTAGTTAAATTTTCCACGATCATCAGATTTCAGGAAAGTTCCAATTCTTTTGTTTAATGCCAGGCAAGCAGAAGGACCTCTAACTCTCCTCTTGAGAGTCATGAAGTCTGAAGGGTTTGCTGAGAGGCAGAGAAGCAAGTGTGCCTTTTCATACTTGGTTTTATCCAGACTATTTTCTAGCCTGAACAAGGTCCTTGTTTCATTTATGGAAAATAGGGGATAACATTTCCAATGCTAAGTATTTCTACTTTTTCTTTTTCTGTTACTGGTTCTTTTCCCCGGTACATTTGTGACAAATGAATTGAATTCTGCTTCATTTGTTTTGGCTTGTAAAGTTAAATCAAGCATCCTTAAAACAAAAAGGCAAACTGGGATATTATCCTTCAGCATAGTGAATGCTGCTTCCTTTTATGATATTAAACCCAAAGTAAATGAATTAGAGACCAAGACTTGTAAGAACGAGTAAGATATTAATTTAGAGAGTGGTGAAGGTAAGTGGTATAAAGTTTGGGGTGGGGGCATGCTTTACATTTGTGCTGACTTTTGAGCAAAAGGAATTAAAAGTGCGCCTACTTTTGTTAAACCACATTTACCATTGCAGACTTTAAATTCCTTTTTAACTGTGTGAGTACAACTTGGTTGACGTGCTTTAAATTTCTAATATTTAAGTTTCCATACAGTAGTTCAGCAAATAGATTTATTTTAGTCTACTGTGTGGCAAGCACTATACTGGTCGGTGAGACCACCTGAAGTCATAAAATACATTGTTTTTCACGTACAAGTAGGGTATTACTTAAACCAGATGAAGAGGAAGAAAATCAACAACACATAAACTGATCAATCCACAGTCCAGTGGCACACTTTAAAAATGGTTTTTAACCAAATGTGGTCTGTGGGTTTTCTCTTCAAAGTTGCCACGGTAACTTGTGCACATGTAAAGTGAAAGAATAAAGAACAAAAGCTGTCATTGTCCCATCAAATGAGAGCAATTTCTCCCTCCTTTCATTTAAACAGACTAATACCTGCAGAAAGCTTTTTATACATCCCTGACACTTGATTTTAGGGTAGGAAAGAGATTCTGCATATGCAAAACAAATGAAATTTTAGCTTTTGCTTAAATTATACTCTATTGCTTTCTACTTAAAATCTGTTTTCTCTGGGATTTTCGTAAATAGATAACTCAAAGTTCTTTCTTACACAACATAAACATAGCTTTGAAAACTGTCCTTTAATGTGATGTTTAACCAAATTTAGTGATGTCGATCTGTATTTTGAAACTGGAAAATACTTTCTGAAATGTGTATACCTATTTTCTTAAGAGGAAGAATGCTGTTTCAGAAGACCAACTCTTTGTTGGAAATTTATTTGTTGACTTTCAGTAAATTTTTGAAATGGTGGAATGTTAGAAGGAGCTGAGAAATATCCGTTTTTATGCTCTGAAGAGAAAATGCAGTTTTGAGGATTAATATTGCTGAGAGATTTTTTACTGTAGAGTTTTTGCCCGCTGGGGGGTGGTACACTCTACCAGAACACTGCTTTCAGAAGCCGCAAGTCAGATGTTGGCTGCTGCTGGCCAGTTTTTCTCTGGTTTAATTACAACAAAGCCTCCCGTTGAGAAGAACAGTGAAGGCCTCTGGGGCAAAAGGTGGGGGGTGGGAGGGTAGGGGGAAGGAGGAAAGAAGGAGGGGAGAAATTATGGCCTTTGAAAAATTTACTGAATCTTATTTCCATTGTTGACTTTATTTATGGTAGTCTTCATTTGACTTTAAACAGTTATTTCTAATGCTTTTTTTTTTTTTAAATAAATGGGTTTGAATAAAAGAATATATAGTGGAATCTATTCAGAATATTTAAGTTAGCTCTGAATTTTGCCAGTAATCAATCACATTCTTTGTTTTATAGCCCACCCACCTTAAAAAGAGGCATAAAAGTTAAGAAATGACTGAAATGGCAACTATAAACCAAATATGTTTTTTAGTGACCAGATTTAATATTGGTATGAACATTGGCATATCAAAAATGAAAAGCAAGAAAGAAGAAACATTAATATATTATTAAGACAAGGCAAATTCCCTGCACAGATTTTTGTAGGGCTTAAAATTGTTCAAAATAATCCAGAAAGAGGAGGAAGCCTTAGGGTGTGTGGCCAAGAAAAGCACAGAAAAATCTCTCTGCAGTGCACTTGCATATTTAAAGCTGATTATTGTATTTTTCGTCGAGAGAGACTGAGTGTTCATTAGGGTCTTGTGTCCCTAGGCAGGAGATGCTGAGCATAATTGGAGTTTCTATTTGATTGGGCAATACAGTCTAGAGAAGAAACTGGGGTAAAGATAATTAATAGCTTGCTAACAAAGTCTGACAGCCACAAGATTTCAACCAAATTTATTTCACACTGCTTCATTTAGCTCTGAAAAAGTTTTGATAGAATTGTAGTCTCTTTAATTAACACTTAAAAGCAAAAGAAACATACCTTCTATTTTGCTGCCACCTTTAGTTATGACAAATTTTCTTACTGTTTTTCTTCTTTTTGTAAAAACTTTATTTGCTATCCAATTATACATTTCACAAACGTTATGTTTGGGAAGTGTTTAATTGTGCATTTTGAACCCAGTCATAATTGATTTTAAAGGGTGGGGTGCAGTGAAATGAAAAACCCAATTAATAACTGGTAGAGAGTTATACAGAACCACGATATTAATGAATTCATTATGTTTATTCATTCACTAATATTTCGCTGATCCTTGGACTTGATGTGTTTTGGCTGTGGTCTTCAAAAAATCAAATTTTAGTTTTCTTAGTTAAATCTATGCATTTTTGTAACCCTGTTTTTATTTCAGGGTAATAAATAGATGTACGTTTGTCTGTGTGTGTATGTATGTGTCCAAACTAAGGGGCATATCTCTGATTTAATTTTCCCATGGTAAAAACCTGGCATATTATCATTAATATTTGTGGTAGTTGGTAATGTTGATATTATTGTGGTACTTTTAAAGGATTCATTTTTCTTCACTCATTTCAGAGGAGATGAATATTAGTCCTCTGTCACTTTGAATCAAGTATAAGTGATTCTCCCTGAATATAGGCAAATTTATTCTTTATGTTTAGGCTGGTCAGGATATTTTTATGCAGTTAGAGATAAATGAAAGGCATTGCTACAGCTGAAGGACTTTTCTAGTGGCTTTATTTATGTTGTTTCTGGATAATAAAATAACATAGATGAGCATTTTAAAGGAGACATTTATTAAGAATATTTAAAATAGCCTTATTATTAAAACCATTAGAGAATTTGGACTAACAATTGAAAAAAAAAATCAAGTTTTTTTTTTTCTTTAAATTCGAAATAAAATAACAAAAAAGAACCCCCCAGACGTTGAGAAGACATGGATGGGCCTGTTGCACTCTTTACCTATATGCAACCATTTTGTTTCAGACCTAATTCAGTGAACAAATTTTTTTGAGAAGATACCTTTAACTACTTTTTCAAGCTTTGTAGTATAAATGCATTTCTTCCAATATAAGATTTTCCTATTGTAAGTTGCAAAGAATGGATCCTCTGCAAAACCCACTTGATGAGGGCTCTACTCATTTATTTTTCTTTCCTGCCACCCCAAACTCACTGCATACATCAGGCATAGCTTCCAGGGTGAGCTTTGTTAGTTTTTCTGAGTAGACTTAGCCATTTACTATGCTAGTCACATACCACACTTGCCTAAGCAATGGATTTTGGCGTTCTATTGAAGAGGGAATATAGTTTGGAAGAGAGTCTCCCCCTCCTCTGAGTTCAATTTACTAGTTGAGATTTGCAAGCCTGAAATGCTTGAAGCAGCTCAGGCACGATAGCAGTGCAAGCTTTAAAATCTAGGTGTAGCTGTTAATCCTTTACAGAGGCACATAAGTCTCTAGGAGCAGCTCGGCTAGCTGTGAGCAAGATGTATGCTTTTCATGTACTGCGTACTCATGGGCTGAGGGATTATTGATTTTCTTTCACAGTTGTAAAAACAGCAATTGGTGATCATACCACACATACAGTACACACCAAGTTAGCAGGACCTTTTGCTTTTCTATCTGTGAAGAATCTCCTTGTATTGTTTGATATTTAACACTGAACTTTCCAACTTGCTGTTTTCCATAAGGCTCTTTTCAAATAGCAATTACTCGAGACAGAAAATAGCCACTTACTATCTTTTATAAATGAAAGAAGGTTCTAAGAAACTTCTTGCATTTGGCCATATAGTGAAATTTTTCTTTGCTGGCTTGCACACACATAGATTGCTTTTCCTGGTGACAGAGCAAACGTTCCTATTTGGATTTCTCAGAGTATCCAGTCATTTCTTTCTAGAGAGTAAAACCAAGCAAACTTTCTGGGACAATCATAAGAAAAAACATGGAAAACACTTACCAGGAAGACGAGAAAAAGCAATCCTATATACACTGCCGCTATAGCTGTAATTCCATTGACTGTGAATTGGAGTAATAGCCCTCCCCCGTCTCCCAAGCTCTGCGTCCAGTCCACACAAAGCCCACGGCAGCTGCAGGCTGAGCTTGTCCTGCTTCAGATCACTCCTACACTGAGGAGTGAGCGAGGGAGAGCATTCCAGTTTACTGCACACAGCCCACCTCCAAGTCTGAAGTTTAAAGCTTCACCTCGCAGTGGTTGAAGAAGGGGGTGATGTCATAGATGGGCAGGACTTAGCCAAGCTCTTGTTCAGTGAGGTAACTGGATAATCAGACAGATGAGCTTTGCAAACGCTAGAGGGGGCGAGAGCAGCCGAAATGAAGCATCAGCCTGCCAAAGCCAGGATGCCATTTGGTTTGTAGGCAGCCCTTTGGAATCTCAACATTTTCTAAAGTTTACTACAAGGCAGTGGCAGCATACTTATATATATTTTTAAAAAGCATGTTAGAAAGATATTTTTAAGATCACAATAGAAAAACACAGGTTTTGTTTTATTTTTAAACCATCTGTATTGAAAAGAAGTTAACCAAAATCAAATTAGTTTTATTGTTCACTAGCTAAAATAATGTTATAATTGTGGAAGATGTAGGCCAGTAATCCCAACTGTGAATATTTATTCATTTATTGAACAAATGAATAAAAAGCAGGTTCAAATATATACATCAGGGTTGTTACGCGGTGGCTCACGCCTATAATTCCAGCGCTTTGGGAGGCCAAGGTGGGCGGATCACCTGAGGTCAGAAGTTCAAGACCAGCCTGACCAACATGGAGAAAAAATTAGCTGGACGTGGTGGTGGGTGCCTGTAATCCCAGCTACTTGGAAGGCTGAAGCGGGAGAATCACTTGAACCCAGGAGGCAGAGGTTGCAGTGAGCCAAGATTGCACCATTGCACTCCAGCCTGGGCAACAAGAGCAAAACTCTGCCTCCAAAAAAATATATATATATGTGTGTGTGTGTGTGTGTGTATATGTGTGTGTGTGTATATATATACATATACATATATATACACGTCACTGATTCATTTAGTTGTGCGAAGGGCAATAGGAATGCCAAACGATTTTTTTAAATGGTAATAAATGGTCTATTCTTTTGGAGGTGAAGAAGTTACTGTTCTCTATGTTTTAGAAAATGAAAGTATGTTTTATGTACTTCTACTACATGTTTATATTATTTAAAATGGATTATTTATATTTAACGATCCCCAATAAAATGTTTTTTAAAAATTAAATAGAATATTTTCCTTTCTAAATGTTTTCGCTGATCTGAGCATGGATTTAGATATAAACATCTTAAGAAAAATATCTTTCAGGGTGGTTTGCCTGAATTGAAATTATTTTATTTTAATTTAGGTACATGAATAAACACTGGACAGTTGTAAGACATGGATATTATAAATTTCTATGTCTAATTAACAGAGTTATACTTTTATTTTTAATTATGATTTTTGTAGACTGGTTTCTGCTATTTGGTCAATAATTGCTTTGTGCCCATAAGTTTTCCATCAAATAAGTGTATTTCACATGTTCATGTTGCTGATAAGAACTTAGCTGTTATATTTACCTGGAGGACCATCTCCTTAAACAAATATCTTTATTTGCTCTACTCTTAGAAGTGCATGACTTTCTCTTTTGTCCTTTCTCAATTTTTCCCTGCACATTTATTTCTGAAGAAGGCCAGCTAATAGTCTTTCCCAGGAGTATTTGATTATGGTCTCTTCATTAACTTCATTTAGTTTATCTATTTATATGTTTGTTTGATAACAGTTTGACCTTCTGAGTTCCCTTCCAAGAATGGTTGATATCAAAGTAGGTGAACCCTTGATAAGAAATGTATTGACCCTATTGTTCTATGATTGCACTTTTGTGGGCCTCAGAGGACATACCCATTAAATCTAGGAGTTTTAGATTCTAATGTCCATTGAAAAGCCAATTTCTTTGAACTGCTAGGTAGTACAATTAAACTGATATGCAGCTGCTGAATTTCGGGAGGAAAGGGAGGTGGTATTATAACAGATAATCTCTTTAAAAAGGGTGGACTCTTTTCTGTTACTGTGAAACACATGGATTAAATTATTTTATGAAATAATTCTTTCTAGAAGCCATTTTCAGATGGGAGTTGGTTCTATTTAAAAAAGGAAATTTTTGCCTGGTCAAATTCCTGTGGGTTTATATCCATATTTAATAAGTTGTGTCTTCATTCAGGCAGAGCTTAAGCAGAAAAGAAAGATCAATTGGTGATTTGGGTTATAGGTATCAAAAATAAATTGTACTGGCCTGGGAGTTAGCA